TTCAAGTCCCCTCTACGGGCCCTCTGGACCCCTTCCCCTGTACACATATATATATATATATAGAGAGAGAGAGAGAGAGAGAGATAGAGAGAGCGAAAAAACGAAAAAACTATCCAATGGGGACGGACTATATAGGGTCAGAGGATCGGGCCGCATCGCCGATGCATCGGCGAGGCGGCGCGATGCGCAACCCGATTTCTTCAACGCCGACGTCGCCGATGCATCGCAAACGTCGCCGATGCATCGACGATGCATCGGCGATGTATCAGCGATGTGACTGCGATGCATAGGCGACGCGTCGGCAAAACGGTGCGATTATCTGGCCCCATCAGCTCGGACACCACCTGGCAGGCTTAGAGTATATATAACCACGCCGAGAGGGCAGGCGCTGGCGGCGAGGAGGCGTCCTTGCTGCCTGCACTTGCCGCCCGCGCACGAGGGCCGCACGGCGCCCCGCTGGTCGCAGCGGCCGGCCGTACCTCGGGCGAGGATCGGGGAGACGTAAGACTCGGGTACTGGGGACTCGGGTCGGCCTGACAGGGCCATCATAAAAATGGCGAGGCCCAATCTGAAATTTGACGCGAGCTCCCGCTGCAAACATCCCACGAAAACTGGACCGTCAAAATCCAGGACGCGCTCGTCAAAAAGCGTCGGAAAGCCCGAGTTCCAGCCTAATTACTCGAGTCTGACGTCTCCCCGAGAGGAGGGAGCCGAGCCCGGAGCTCCCAAAGCGCCTCGCGAAAAAAAAACTCGAGGCGGACGTGCTTCGCAGTTATTTGTTCGGCCCGCGGGGCCGGGCAGCCGTCTCGACTCTCGGGGTCTTCTTGGAGGCATGAGGAGGCATGAGGAGGAGGAGGAGGAGGAGGAGGAGGAGGAGGGAGGAGGAGGAGGAGGAGGAGGAGGGAGGGAGGAGGGAGGAGGGAGGAGGGAGGAGGGAGGAGGAGAGGGAGGAGGGAGGGAGGGAGGAGGGAGGAGGGAGGAGGAGGAGGGAGGAGGGAGGAGGGAGGAGGGAGGAGGGAGGAGGAGGAGGAGGAGGAGGAGGGAGGAGGAGGAGGAGGTCTCCATGTGAGCGAGCATGAGGAGGGATGAGCCCGAGCGTGAAGCAGCACGGGTGAGGCGGAGAGTGATCTGGGCCTGGATGCAAGCGAGCCTGTGCGAGGGCACGTCGAGGCGCGGGCCAGTCTGGGGAGGAGGGAGGGCGAGGGAGCGAGGCGGAGGGCCCCCCCCGTTGACGGCTACAGCCCGAAGCTCGGGACATGGGGAAAGCACGTGCGCAAGAATGTCCACCGTCACCCAACGCATGCAATCATTCACACTGGCAGGTGCCCCCGAACGAGCACAATGAGAGCCCATGGATGTGGCGGGTAGACTCGGCAAACAGAGTCAGGCAGACACGACGATGACACCATACAACACGTATGGCGAAAAGATCTCTGTCATGTCGAATTCCGTCAGGACGACAACTATGTTTGCATATCGCCCAATGTTTCGGCTTGCAGATGTTTAGCACACAATGTATGTCCGATCAAACCCTGCTCTTAATTTCAATGTGCCCACCAAGCTGTACAGCGTAGACACGGACCAGCGACGCCATCGGCAAGGCTCATACATTTTACATTTGGTGGGACATGCATGTGCTGTAAAATCATGTGGAAGCGCCAATCGGATCAAGAAACCAGCGACACTCTAAGAGAACAAGGAAGCGGTGAAACAAACAACGAGCATACCGAATCCCCAAACACCCAAGTCAACGATCTCACTACACCATCATCATGCTTCTGCCAGGGCGCGCTTCAGTTTTCAAGTCTTGCTGATAGCGATCCGCAAGGAACGATGCCCACCCCTGCTTCTGCACCGTCGAGCAGCACGAATCAGATTGATACAGCAAGCTGGATGTTCCTGAGATCTCCTCGGGCCGAAGATCGGCTACACGTAAGAGTGACCCTGGGTAAGAGTGACCCTTGGTGCGCGGCTTTGGGGGGCCGCGGGGAGGCCAAATCCAGGCGCGCTAGCCGCTGCTTCCGCTTCGCGCTCGGCCATCTGCGGGCCCATCTGTGCCCGCACCAGAGGTCACTCCGGCGAAAGGACACTCCTACGTCTAGTCGAGAAGAGGACCCTCGTTTCGGCGCTCCGCCTGTGCTGACTCTGCGCCTGCCCGGGCGCGCTGCTTACAGCGGGGGCACACGTCGGCTCGAAGGAGCCGCGCTGGTCGCAGCCGCCACCGTCGCAGCTGGGCCGCAGGCACGTCTGCTGCCCGCAGTGGCCGGCGTCGCACTGCGGGCGGGGGGGCCATTCGTGCTTTCTGCCCTGCGCCCCTTCGCTTCGATAAAAAACGACGCGAAGATCGGGACAACATCGGATCGGGATGACTCGAAATCTCTGAGAATCGGCGGGTTTGGAGGATGTATTGGGCGCCGCGGCGGCTCCAGAGCGTCCCGGAACGCTTTGAGAGCGCTCCGGAACGCTCTGGAGCGATTGATCCCGATCCTAGCTCTGTTTTATTCGAGCTTCCCTCTCGCTCTTTGAGCTCTCGCGCCGTCCCTGGGAAACGGCGCAGCTCTCCGGCCAGGGCGCGTGAGGTGCGGCACGCACGTACACGGTCAAAAACCCCAATAAGGACGCGCGGTAAGGACGCTGGACCCTTGGAAGCCGAAGTTGGGAGTTTTGGGGCGGCGGACGACGAAAACCCCAAGGACGCAAGAGCAAGGAAGAGCAAGGACGCAAGGGTACCCTGAGCAAAGTCGCGCGTCCTTACTAGGGTCTTTGACTGTACCTTCGCGCCGCTGCGGGCGCGCCCCTCGGGTATCTGACTCTGATGCTCCACCAGCGCGAGCCCGTGCCATCCGCATCTCAGGCCAGCTTGCTGGTCAAGGTGCGGCGTTAAGAGGGCTCGAGTACCGACTACCGGGAAGAAAAAAAGGTACCCTCTCAGCTGATACGTGTCTATACACGTGTGCGGGCATACATTCCCGACGTCGGCGTTGCTCGCCCAGGTGCGAGCGGGAACACAAGAGGAACGAGGCCCCCTCCATGGCCCCAGAGCGGCCCCGAATCTGGCCGAGACCAGCGCGTTCCGCCAAATCGCTGACCACGACATCCCCAATGTGGTGTAAGTCGACCGGCATGTGCAACGGCGCATAACATATATATCTATATACATATATATATATATATATATATATATATATATATGTATGGATATATATATATATATATACACTAGAACCATCGCGCGCGCTTCGCGCGCGCTCAAGTTCTAGCTAGGCTTGATGGGACAAATCATGGAATATCATTTTGTCGTGTCTTGCATCCAGGGACTCTCGTGGAGGCCCTGCGCAAGCGTCGGAACCGTATGGGAGGGGAACTGGGGGAACTGCGGAAACGCGGAAATCATTACTTTCCGTTAGGTGTTCAACGATTTGGGGCCCCCAAAGGCTTCCTGGTTTCTTGTCTGGGAGCTGAGGGGGGCCTTCATTGTGGTCTGCTGTGCAAGAGTAGACAGGAGGCGAACTTGAAAAAAGGGAGTGAGACTTCCATTTGTTTCGAGTTAACGTGCCTGGGCTGTGGGTTGGAAATTTCCTGGATACAGGCCACGGTGCGTTGAGATGCCTCTCGGGAACTTCGTGCACAAATAAGCAAGTGCTGAGTTTGACATTAAAGGAATGTGCTGTTCTTAACTCCTGGGATCATGAAATCTCGATTTCTACTGTGATTTCAGGGGCGGCCAAAAGGACGCGAAGACGTTCCAAGAGTGCCAAGACAGCGTCAGAGAGTTCAAGCATATCCCCGAAACATCTTTGCATGTGACTCCGAAGTCGTGCTGGGGCTCGAGGAAGAGGATGGGGAGTAGGAGTCCCAACTTGAAACACAAAGGAATATCTGGAATTCCCTTTGTTTCAAATTCCTCGGTCTTTGAGCGTTGGAAGAGGGAACATGTGAGGCGGAAAACGTCGACGAAAACCACTGGAAAGCTCTCGAAGCTCTCCTGGGCTGACTTTGGGGCCTCGTCGGCGCTTCTTCGGGGGCCTCTCGGGAGCCTCGGAGGTCTCTGGAGGCCTCCTGCCCCCGCTCTTGGGCTCCTCTTGGGCCTGTTCCGGGGTGGTCTGGAGCTGTCCTGGGCGCTTCTCCGGCCGTGCTGGAGCGTTGGAACCATGAAATGGTGAGAAGGCCAAGCACCGTGAACAAAACCAGGAAATGACTACCTACCAGACCACCCCAACCCAACCCGAAGACCCAAATTTCGGGTTGGGGGGGGTATGGGTTCCATACGTGTTCTCTCGATGTTCCCCGACCCCCCCCCCCACTGGAAATGGAGGGCAAATGGAGGCCTTCGGGTTGGGTTGGGGTGGTTTGGTAGGTAGTCAGGAAAATCAGCGATTTTAGGTTCTCCGAGCGCTATCGGGAAGCCCATCGGAGCTCTCCTGCGGTCTTTCGGAGGCCTCCTGGGAGCCTGGAGAGCCGCCCGAAAGCCATCCTGGGCTGCTTGGGAGCGTCTTGGGCCTCTCTTTTACGTTCTGGGGGCTTCTTGGGGTCGTCTTGGGCTGTCCCTGGGCGTTGTGGGGGCTCCCCGGGAGGTCGGGAAACGCGGTACCGGGAGCGTTCCGCAGATGTCCCGGGAAGGTATGGGACCCCCGAGAGGTGGGGGCGCGCATATGTTGAACTTGAGAGAAAGAAGGAATCTCTGGAACTCCTTCTTCTTTTCTTTTCAATTCCTCGGTCTTGGAGCGTTTGAAGCGGTGAAACGTGAGAAGGCGAAAAACGTCGACAAAAACCACCGAAAATCAACGATGTTACTATCTCCGGGCTCTTTCAGGACGGCTCTCGAAGCTCTCTTGGGCTGTTTCTGGGGCCTCGTCGGAGCTTCTTTGGGGGCCTCTCAAGGGTCTGGGGTGTGTTGGAGGCCTCTGGGGGGTCCTGGAGTCCTCTCGGAGGTCTCTGGCAGCCTCCTGCTGCCGCTCTTGGATGTATGTATGCATGTATGTATGCATACATACAAGTATGCATGCATGCATGCATTATGCATTGATGAATGTTTGCATGTATGTATGATTGTATATATGAGTACATGCATGTGCATATGTATGTATGTATGCATGGATGCATTGATGTATCTAGGAATGTATGAATGCATGACTGCATCAATGTAGGACTGTTTGTATGTCTGGATATATGTATGTACGCGTATATGCATGCATGTATGTATGTGCGGATGCATGCATGTACGGTGTTTTGTGTACGTATGTTTGTATGGGTGTGTAAGTGTATGCATGAATACAGGCTTGTATAAATGTATGTATGAATGTATAAGTATATGTGTGTAGACGTATATGTACATGTACGTATGCATGGATGTATGTAAACGCGTATGTATGTATGTATGTCTGGATGTATGTGTGTATGCATGCATGTGTATATGCGTATGTGTATGTGCATATGTAGCTGTGCGTGTATGTATGTGTGGGTGCATGTATGCATGTATGCATGGATGCATACATGTATTGATGCATGGATATCTGTGCGTATGCATGTATGTATGTGTGTATGTATGTAAATATATGTATGTACGCGTGTAATATGTATGCAGGTATGTATGCATACAGGCGTGTATGTATGGTTGAGTGAATGCTGGTATTGATGTGTATACACTTGCATGTATGGATTAAAAAGTGTAATAATGTACTACACAACCACGTGTATGGAACATCTGCACCAACAGATCACACACACGTGGTGGGCTGCGACCGTCGGACTCGCATGCCCCACACTGGCCCGAGTAGAGCGGGGTAAGGGATGAGGAAAAAGTCCGCCTGCGGATGGGCAAACCTTCGGCCGGCCTCCTCCCCCGCTCACATCTCCCTCACCCCTCAGCGCTTCTGCCCAACGGGGCAAAGCAACACACCCTGCCTCCACCTCCCCACGCCATTCCCACCCCACCGCCGAAATTCGAAGCCTAAGCTTGAGCAGCCAAACGCGGTGTGACAACTGCAGAGCAGTGTGCCTGGCGCAGGGCCTGACCCAACATGCAGCCACGTGTCCCACAAGCGTGGCCCTCTCCCCCTAAACTGCGCCGCGGGAGGGAGGGAGCTCGGGAGAGTGCGTCTATGGGGGCTGCGGAGCGTGCGCGTGCGGGCAGAACGTCGCTGAGCTCCACGTGGGGCACGACCCGCGGGAAGGGCGTGCCGAAAGGGGCGGAGGCCTGCCTGCGAGGACGCCCACTGGTGCCGCAGACGGAGCTCCCTCGGGGGCACGGCGACGTGTGAGGAGTGCGCCGGGACGGGCGGGGGGGCGGCACGCGTGCCCCGCCGCTGGGGCCCTACGTTAAAGGGGCCCCAGGACACACAAATAAATACACACAAATAAAACGATTCCCCATATTTTCCCGTATTTTCTATGTTTTCGTCTTCCCCCCCCACTTCCCATATTTTCCCATATTTTCCTGGGACTCGACGATTAATTGTGTCTGTGTGTTTTTTCTCCTCCTGATACGTGGAGCTTCCTACGAGGCACACACACACACACAGCGAGGGTGGTGCGCCGACAATTGGCCGAGGCCGGCGAGCGGACACCCACCCGTGGGGGCCGCAGGCGGAGCTCCTCAGTGGGGGCACGAGGCGCGCGAGGGCTTCACTCCAGCACGCTGGCGCCCTAAGACCCTGACCCAACATCCTGATGCCAAGCCCTGGCCCTGAGCCTCGCATCCCTGCGTCCTCACACCCCAACCCAACCGCACCAGGTCACCCACCATCAGCACTGAGCATAACCTGCACACTCCAACCCGACCCCCCCAAACAAACATTGGGGAACCACCGATAAACACTACCCCGCACCATACACCCTACACGTGATCCCTGACATTCTAACCCTGACCCCCGAACATCACCCCCATGCACTGACCCCAAGCCCTAAAACCCTACACACAAACACCTGAACCCGAAGCACAACTCCAACCCGACACTCCGACCCTAACACCTGAAAACCGACCTACCTCCAGAGCGGCTCGGCCAGCGCCTTGATACCCCCTCCCGTTTAGTACCAGCCTCATAAGAAACGGGGTGGACCCCACTCCGTTGTCTGGTGCACAAAGGGGGAAGGAGGTGTCAGATCCCAACCTTTGGAAGGAAAGGGGTGGCGGGAGCTGAAGCCTAACCCCCTTGAAAAGGAGGGGGGTCCGCTACTCCCCTCTCTTTCTACTTACTGGGGCAACCACTGGCGTTCTTTCGAACTGCAACACGGAGCCCCATCGCGCTGATCACTGCCTCGGGAGTCACTGGCTGTCCTGCCGCATCGGCTGCCACATGTTTTCGTACGAGGACATAGCGTAGCACCCATGCTGCAACACTGGCGACGGACTCCTGGATGCCTGCTGCCGTCCTACTTACTGTCACGTCTCCACTGGCCCCTTCACCCGTCCCGACTTCTCTATCCTCTTCATGCCATTCCATCGGGACAATGCAGAACCGAGATGTCAGGGCATCGTTGGGCCCAAGAAGGAAGGACACAACGGATATCACGTGGTTCTCAGCGCATGCCTGGGACGCACCGAAAGAACATGCTCGGCTGCGTCGGTGTCTTGTCTGTCCCTGTCCATCGTCGAAGCACTGACCACTACTCTGCCGATCATGCATCAGCGAGCGAAGAACGGTAGAAAATAACTTGTTCGCCGTCGGGGACGCCTGTCCCAGGGCGGCTGGAAAGTTTATACCCCTACGGTGCCACCGTAAGGGTATAAACTTTCCAGCCGCCCTGGGACAGGCGCCCCCGACAGCGAAAACGTTTATGTTATACCGTTCTTCGCCCGTTAAATGCAACAACATATGATGGACACGCGATCTCTACAGTCCTCCAGCTCGGGTGGGCTTTCCTGCTCGGCAAGCCTGAGCCCCACTCCAAAAACCTGGGGGGGGGGGTACTGTCGGCAGCTGCAGCGGCAACGATTCGGCTACACGCGCGAGTACACCCCGGTAAGAGTGACCTTCGGTGCGCGGCTTTGGGGGGGCGCAGGGTGGCCAAATCCAAGCGCGCAAGCAGCCGCTGTCGCATCGCGCTCAGCGAGGGGGGGCCAAGCGCTCGAGGGCCGCGGGAGGCCCATCGCAAGCGCGCAAGATGCCACTGCCGCATCTCTCGCTCGGCGATCGGCGGACCCCCCCGTGGGCCCGCACCGGAGGCCACGCCGGCGGAAGGCCACTCTTGCGCCCGGCCGAGCGGCGGGGGCGGCCTTGCCCCACATGCACACCGGGTACACCGCCAGGGGCTCGGCCGCCGTCGGCGCCGGCGTGGGCAGCGCCCGCGGCGCGGCGGGGGGGGGCCGCGGCGCGGGCCGCGGGGCCGGGCGGGGTCTCGGGCGGCCCGGGGCCGCGCGGTGGCCCCCCTTCGTCGGAGCAGGCGTCGAGGCTGCGTCGGGCGCGGCCGGCGGCGCGGGCTCCTGCGCCACCCTCGTCGGGGCGGGCGTCGGGTCGTGGCCTTGGCGCGTCGGGGCTGGCGCGGACCACCTCGTCGGCGCCTGGACTGCTTCCTTCGGAGGGGGCGCAGGCTCTGCACTGGGCGCGGGCGATGGCACAGGCTCCCTCGTCACCTTTGTCTGGGCGGGCGTCGGGTTCGAGCTTGGATGCGTCGGAGCTGGCGTGGGCAAGCTTGCTGGGGTGGGCGCCGATTCCTTACTTTCTGTCGTCCGAGACGGTGTCGGATCTGGGTCGCGCGTGTGCAAAGGCACGGGCTCCTCCGTCACCTTCGTCGGGGCGGACGTGGGTTCAACGCTGGGACGCGTCGGAGCGGGCGCGGACCTCCTGGTCGGGGGAAGCGTAGGTACGTCGTCCTCTTTTCTCGGAGCAGGCGTCATTTTGGCATGAGGCGTGGGCAGTGGTACGGGCTCCTTCGTCACCTTTCTCGGGCCGGACGTGGGTTCAACACTGGGACGCCTCGGAGCGGGCGCGGACCTCCTGGTCGGGGGAAGCGTTGGTACGTCCTCTTCTGTCCTCGGGGCAGGCGTCGGTTCTGCATGAGGCGTGGGCGATGGCACGGGTCCCTTCGTCACCTTTCTCGGGCCGGACGTCTGGCTAACGCTCGGGTGCGACGGAGCTGGCGCGGACCTCCTGGTCGGTGCCTGCGTCGGCACATCGTCTTCTTCTTCTTTCCTCGGGGCAGGCGTCGGTTCTGCATGAGGCGTGGGCAACGGCACGGGTTCAGGGCGGGCGGTCGGGGCGGGGATCTCCTTCGACTCCTTCTCGGCGCCTCCGAAGAGTGTGGTTTGCAAAGGGTGTGGCTTGCAACCGGCACTTTGGGGGGCACCCTGGAGGGCGGGCGAGGACCTCGACGGAGCTCTCCGCCGCGCCCCGAGGAGGCACGACGAGGGCAGCGTCGTGCGCCCCAAGCCCCTACGCTTCGGCTACACGCAAGAGTGACCCTGGGTAAAGAGTGACCTCTGGTGCGCGGTTTTTTGGGGGCGCGAGGTGGCCAAATCCAAGCGCGCAGGCAGCCGCTATCGCATCGCGCTCGGCGGTCGCGGGGCCCCGATGAGCCCGCACCCAGAGGTCACTCCAGCGAAGGGTCACTCTTACGCTTGAGCAGGGACCAACCGTCCCGGCATTTCTATAGTCCTACCACGACATGTTCTGAGAACCCAAAAATGTTCTAAGAACAAAAACAATGTTCGTAGAACATTAACCCGATGTGCTAAACCAAAACAGTCCAGGCCGGAAATGTTCTAAGAACATTTCGCGCAGACCACAAAAGGTTCTTAGAACATTGTTTGGCGGGGCTATAGGCGAGCCTGGACACTTCGCCACTGCTTCATACGCGTAGTCGAACGGTGCCGACCGTAAACCACACCCTGGCGTAACCACACCCTTTGTAATCGCCGACCTTGGCCGGAGCGGGCGTCGCTGCGTGGGGCACGGCGCTCGGCCTCGGGCCTGGCGCCGGGCTGTGCGCCCGGCGCCGCTCCCGAGGCGGAGGGGCGCCCGGCAGCGGGCGCGGCGCTGGGCTGTGCGTCGGGCTGTGCGTCGGGCTGTGCGTCGGGTTGTGCGTCGGGCTGCGCGTCGGGTGCGGCGTCGGGCTGTGCGTCGGGTGCGGCGTCGGTCTGGGCGTCGGGCTGTGCGTCGGGTGCGGCGTCGGGCTGTGCGTCGGGTGCGGCGTCGGGCTGTGCGTCGGGTGCGGCGTCGGGCTGGGCGTGGGGCTGTGCGTCGGGTTGTGCGTCGGGTGCGGCGTCGGGCTGTGCGTCGGGCTGTGCGTCGGGCTGGGCGTCGGGCTGTGCGTCGGGTTGTGCGTCGGGTGCGGCGTCGGGCTGTGCGTCGGGCTGTGCGTCGGGCTGTGCGTCGGGCTGTGCGTCGGGCTGTGCGTCGGGCTGTGCGTCGGCTGCGGAGTGGGGCTCGGCGTTGGGCCCAGCGTCGGCGCGGCCGCCTGGGGGAGGGCGAAAGCCATCAAAAATTGGACACCATGTCTTTGCGGGGGGGGGGGGGGCACCAGCGACAACGGACCAAGATGGGCCCACCCAGAAGCTCCTGCTCCTCCTCATCCTCCTCCTCCTCTCCTTCCTGCTCCTCCTCCTCCTCCTCCTCCTCCTCCTCCTCGTTCTCCTCCTCGTTCTCCTCCTCGTCCTCCCCCTCGTCCTCCTCCTCATCTTCTACGACACCCTTCTTCTCACGACGCAGTGGAAAAATCACGACTGCAACTCCCGACCGCATCGTTGTGCCCGCTGTATGGAGCGGGACCACCTCGCGATGGTTCAGGTGTCCGAAACTGGGCGACAAGGCTCGTGGTGATTTTGATTGCAGTACGTCTGGAAGTCAGGGTCCTCCCACACCTTCACTCTTCGCCCACGCTGACACGCGAACACGCGGCCTACACTGGGATCGCCGCCTCGGGGTGGACAGGGCTAGCAGAGCTCACACCCACTGTTACCGCGGTCCTCCCATCTTTCACTGTCCCCTCCCTAGAGGTGGTGGGGGAACTGTGGAGATGGAGGAGGCGGAGGAGGATGCGGAAGAGGAGGAGGGGGAGAGGAGGAGGAGGAGGAGGAGGAGGAGGAGGAGGAGGAGGAGGAGGAGGAGGGAGGAGGGAGGAGGGGGAGGGGGAGGGAGGGAGGGAGGGAGGGAGGGGGAGGTGAGATGAGGGAGGCGAGGCGAGGCGAGCGCCACGGCGTCCCGAGGGGGGCGGCCCAACGCGGGGCCAGGCGAGGGCGCCTGGGCGCCCGAAGCGCCCGAGACCCCGGAGCACGCACGGCCCGACCGAGGGCAGAAGAGCGGCCCTCGAGAGCACGAGACCTCCCAGGGGCCAGATTGAAAAACATTCGAGGGTGCCCTCCCTCAGCATGCACAACAACCCTTTTTTGCTCTGGCACCGAAAGACTGCACCTCCATTGAAACAGCCCTCAAAACGGCAAGGCGAAGCACTGAAATTTGTACCGCGGGGCTGGCCAAGATGAAGCACTTAAATTTGTACCGCTAAACCGGCCAGCGATTTTTTGAGGAGAGGAGGAGGAGGCGAGGCGAGAGGAAGGAGGAGGAGGAGGAGCCGAAGGACAAAAACATCCAACAACCACGAAGAACATTGGGAAACCCTCCCAAAACCGGCCTCGATCTTATCTCTCGGCCCGGCCGTGCGCGTCCTCCGGATGTGCCAAGACCGGGTGAGATGCAGAAGGAAAGGTGAGAGCGGGGAGGGGAGGGAGGAAGGGAGCGAGGGCGAGGGGAGAGAATGGAGAAGGCGGCGAGCGTGGATGGGGAAGTGCCAAGACGTTCTCCCCGCCTGCAGCGACTCGGCTCCCCCGGAGCTATTGGACCCCGGTCCTGTAGGGCGGCCTTTGGGGCCTCTCACCTCGAGTCGTTTTTGAGACAGTCATGGAGCTCCGATAAACAGGTTCTGGACGCCACGACTGGTGAAAAAAAACCTCTCTGGCGCGATCTGGTCGCATCGCCAGGAGGGCTGAGTCTCCTGAGGTCCCCCAGGAGGTCCCTGCAAGGCGCCCGAGGTCTCCAGACGTCCCCGAATCTCGCCATCGCTCGGACGTCCATTCCCAGTGCAGTATTCGGCTTCGTGCGTCTTTCTTTTGTCGCAAGATGGCCCGAAGGTCATCGATGGTCCTTTCCGAGCAAAAATGCACACGTCCGAGCGATGCCAAGAGATGTGGAGGCCATGCCTTCTGTGCTGAGCTAGCGATGCCTCGTGTTCTGGTCTGCCGCCCCGATCGCCCCGTGCCTCCGCCATCGCGAGATAGAGAGAGAGAGAGAGAAAGAGAGACAGAGCCGAGTGCAAAGCGCACAAGCGCAAATGCCATGGTCTTACCATTTGCGCTCTAGCTGCCGCGGCACGCAACACGTAACACGTAGCGTCTTGAAACGGAGCTCGACACGTATATAGACTGAACACGTAAGCCTGATGCGATGCGTTCGTCAAAACGTGGGCAAATACGATACGCGATGCGAGACAAAGCTAAGGGCCCTCGGATCATGAACAATTCACGACGGGAAACTTTCGGGTACTTTCGGCTTCCGCGGGCCCTCACCGGGCCTCGGGACTGTCACAAACGACTCGGCACGAGAAGCCAGTTCCGGGGAATTGGTCGAGACCTTTGGGGGTCGACGTTATAAAACAAATATATATATATATATAAACATGTCGTCGGGAGTCCGGGTGCAAAGCGCATGAGCACAAGTGTTAGTTCGGGCATGTCCTCCCACAGGCAGATTTTGGAAGAAAAATCGAACATAGTCAAAACATAAGCAACGCGTACTCAAAAGTAGTCAAACAAATATCGTCCCCAGACTATTGCTCGACTATTTCTGAATCTTCCTCCTGTCCTGTAGAGGGACGTGCCGGACTTGACACAAGTGCCATGGCCCCACGGGGCGTTGCAATACCCCGCGTGACGGCTGCGCGCGAAGCTGCGGCTTCACGCGCCAGGCGGGGGGGCCTCCCGTAGGCGCGCCCCCCCGCACCTCTTCTGCAGAGCCACAGCCGGGGCCTGCCTTCCCCCGATGGATTTCACCCCCCATGATGGGCCCAGGCCCCACCACCCCCAATTACCACAGGCAGGAGAGGGAAGATGATGATGATGATGATGATGATGATGATGAGGAGGAGGAGGAGGAGGAGGAGGAGGAGGAGGAGGAGGGAGGAGGAGGAGGAGGAGGCAGAGGAGGACCTCCTCTCCTCCCCCTGCTCCCTTCTCCTCCGTCCTACCCATGGTACGTGGTGGTGGTGGTGGTGGAAAGTGGGCCCACCACCCCAGGCTTCTGCCATGAAGGTATGGCGCGCGCAGGGCGGCCGCGCGGCAGCGGCAGTGGCCGTGCCCACCGTGCCCCACGCGCTTGCCGTCTGCGGCACGAGCTGGCACAGCTCCCGTGCCACACGCGGCGCCGGCCGCGCACCAGAGTTGTAGAGATCGGGAGGCCAGGAGCAGGCGGGCGAGGAGCCCGGATGGACTGGTGGTGCGCACAAGGGGGGGGGGGCTTCTTAGAAGGAGGCTGCTCCTTAGAAGGCGCCGGCCTTGCATCGATAGATAAGGCCCGCGCCTTCTGAGAAGCAGGGGTGCTTCCAAGAAGCCCTCCCCCCTCCCCCCACCCCCCTCTGCGCGTGGTCGAATAGAGACCTCCTAGTTAAATGGTGTCGGAGTCGATGGGGTGGGAGGATCGCGCCGCATCGCCGATGCCTCGGCGATGCATCGGGGATGCACCGGCGACGCATCGTCGACGTCAGCGATGAATCGGCGACGTCGACGTGAAGCAGATCGGGCTCCACATCTAGCCGCATCGTCGATGCATCGGCGATGCGGCGCGAACCTCCGACCTCATCTGCTCGGACCCCAACTAGGAGGCCTAGACAGGAGCATGCGGACGAAAAGCCCGAATGCGGCGAGACCGGCATTTATCCGCGACTACGCCCATGCTGGGCAGCGCGGCGACCGAGCCAGGAGTGGCACGCCTGCTGCCCTGCTGCGGGGCGCACACGAGACCCGACGTGCCCTGCAACAAACACAGCCGCGACACGAGCGACACGCTTGGCACTGCTGGGCGCCGACTTGGTTAGAGGCCTCCGAGATGGGGTCCGAGTACATGGGGTCGAAGGATTGCGCCGCATCGCTGATACATCGGCAATACATCGCCGATGCGTCGACGATGCGCTGGCGGCGTCGGCGATGCATCGGCGACGTCGGCGTGCAGAGAATTGGGCCCACCTCGAGCCGCACCGCCGATGCATCGCCGATGCATCGGCGATGCGGCGAGATCCTCCGACCCAATATATATATATATATATATATACACATATATATATATATACATACATACATACATACATACTTACACGTACTCCGACCCCATCCAGGAGGCCTAGATTGGTGGGCGTCTCGTGGGGCGGCCTCGCATCGAGCGGGTTCGCGCGGCGGCCGCCCTCCTGGCGGCCGGCCGCCTGCGGGCCTTCACACGGCGCATGCGCCGACGCCGAAGTGCTAGAGCAGTGAGGAGCCGTGGCCGGACCGAGCTGGCAGCGCCGCCCGGCCCGTGATTTACTACGTACCTGACCACCGGGAGGGGGAGGGGGAATCCGAGCTGCCAAGGGAGGGCAAGAGTGGGCGGCACCGCCGCCGGCGGCCAGAACACCCCTGGCCCAGGTCGTCGCGGCTCGAGGAAGAGCGGGGCGGCGGGGGCGGGGGGCTGGCGCACATTGAGCAGGGACCGACCGGCCCAGCATTCCTATAGTCATACCACGAAATGTTCTTAGACCCAATGATGTTCTAAGAACAAAAACAATGTTCTTAGAACATGAACCCGATGTGTCAAAACAAGCCAGTCCCAGCCAGAAAGGTTCTAAGAACACGTCCTGGGAACCGCAAAACGTTATTAGAACATTGTTTGGTAGGGCTATAGGCGAGCCAGGACGCTTCGCCACTGCTTGATGGCACAAGGGCCCCGGGAGGCGGCGGCACAGCCGGTTGCGGCCAGGGAGGGAAAAGCGAAGAGCGCGCCTGCGGGCCCAAGCAGGGCACATTGACGCAGAAACTCCAGC